ACCTCCGCGTGGCAACCTGACTTTACTGCAGACTCCAGGTATGCCCGAAAACCTTCATATATAAATAGAAGTCATGTTTTGCTCTGAGTTCTGCTTGTTTGGCTTATTCTTTGCAATGAAAGGGGATATCCTCTTTCTCTTTCTATCTATTTGTGTCGTCATCTTTTCGTTCTTGGCTAGTAAGAATAACTGAACCATCTACAAAGTTGCATGGTAGAAATCATGAAGCACAGAGGTTCTAATAAATATGATATTCCACGTATAAGAAAAGAAGTCATGGAAAAGGAAGGTCCACTACCAAATCAAATATAAGTGTGATCCAAAGTTAGTACAAGAAGTGATGAAGTAATTGAGGTAATTTTTTTCTTTCTTTGAGTATTTCTTCTGTTTTTTTTTTTTGGTCTTGTTCTTTTGGTTGATATGTATGCATGGTGCTTAAATTTTATGTGTTGGACAATTCATAGCTGTGGCAATATTGAATGATTCGATGGCAAACTGGCCCTTGGCTTCAGCTACTAACTGTTGCAAAAGAAGTATTCTGTGTACTGAGCACTATTTAGTCCTTCGAATTAATGAAATATACTATATTATAGTATTTGATAGTTATCGTTTCTGGAGAACTTACAAGTTCACAAAGTTCATCTAACAATTTTTTATGTGGTTTGTAGATCTTTTTTAAGAATAAATTATTCATGGATTTAAAATGAATTTTTTCACAGTCATAAGGCACCAGTTTATAAATTTAAAATAATTTTTTAATGACTAAAATTTCATTTGTCTATTATTTTCTTTCTTAGTTTGTTTTCCAGATATAAATTAATCTTTTAAATATTTTTCAGTGATTTAAACAGTTATGTTTAAAATCTAACAATTTGAGTTATTTATTAATTTTAAAAGTTTATTAATATATTTATAAAAATATTGAAAATAACCCAGTCAAATTTTAATTCAATAGTTAAAATGAGAAGCGGAGAGAGGAAGTAGAATTTCTCCATGTGTAATAGTATTTATTTGAATTATTATGGTAGTATTTAATTATAGTTAATGGAATATAAGTAAAGGTAGTTTGGAAAAAATAAATAAATATGAAAAATAAAGTGGATTGGAGTCTTCTATTTAGGACCAAACTAAAAATCAAACTAGCTCTTATAATTAGGACTGGAGATAGTACTTTTTTTTCCCTAAAATATTCTAATCATCTTCTTTAATTTTTTCCCTTCCAGTACTCCTACATAATTATTGTTGAAAAAATATCAATAAAGTTAATTTGAAAAAAAGTGAGAAACATATGAAATATGTCTTAAATATAGAACCAATATCAACTTTCAAATTAGGTCCTACATTAAATATATGAGGGGTACAAATTAAGATAAATGTAATTTTTTAATGATCTTTGGGTTTGGATATTGGCACCGCCAGCTTGATCTCTTTCAACGAAAGTTCATGAACTTCGCCGGGATGTTTAAAAATTTCTCCCCATACAATTCATGGGTTGGAATATTAATTTTTTAAAACAATTATGGAGAGCAAATATATTTACGTTTAAATATATTGATAGAATAGATTGGTGAAACATGTTACATTACCATTGGTTAATTATTAGTACATATCTGATAGATTTTCTTTGGCTGATGGTCATCAGCACAAACTAATAGCTATGTAACACTTAAGCATGATTAAGGTGTTACATTTTTCTATTGAAATATAAACATGCTGCACGCCTTAAACATGATGCGCTATATTTCAATAATAAAAAAAAAAAAGTCAATTGCTTTACATTATTGTAATTTATAGCTGTAGATACTCTTTTATAAATATTTTAGGGCAAAAATTTGACACAGTTCAGAGATGAAAATAGCTTTTAATCTAAAATTAACAATACATTAACTAAATATTAAATATTATAAATAAAAAATGGGGAAAGTTAATGTTTAGGATAATACTTATATTAATTTTCTTATATTGATTATATCAAGTTCTTCACATGAAATAAAAAAAACATATGACTATGTATGATTAGAGAATTTGACATAATAGATATAAAAAACTTGACATAAGTTTTTTTTTTTTAAATGCGCCTCAAGGACATGAGTTCTCAGTCAGTTTTCAAGCAATAAATTTTGTAATTGACGCTTTTTCGACAATTTTTCCTTCTTATTATAATTATAAATTAAATTAAAGTCATAATTAAGAAAGTTTATCAGTTTAACTACGTCGTTTAATTTACGGTAGATCGTAGCCGTTCAAGCAGTGGAAAAATAGAGTCTGTCTGTTCAACTCTATCAGTTTCTTTGTCATTCTTCTCTCGTGGCCATCTCGAGTCTCGATGACAGCGGCTTCTTTTCTTCTCCCTCTCCGGAAATGTCTCGTCGACGGGTTATCCGAACTGATTCACCAGCAGGTTCTTGTCACAGGTTTTCCCTCTCCGTTCTTGTTGCCGTTCTTCGATATGATGTTTTAGATCGTTTTGCTTAAGTTGTGCTGTGAGTCGTTGTAGTCTGAAAAGTAAAAAACCTGGAAGCATCTTGAGCTTAGAGAATTCAAAAGTTTAAACGATTTGTTAGCATTCAACCTTCTTAAGTATTTTTTTTGGGTGATTTCCCCGTTTTATTTTTCTCTTCGCATTTATTGGAACAATAATTGTAGGAAGAATTTGAATTTTAAACCGTATTTTTGGAAGCTATTGTGTTGGCAACGCTTTGAACGTTGATTTTCTTGCTTGTTGAGATCTTATAGTCTATAATAGTTAAGCATATGTATATTATCAAACTTAAATAAGGAACTTGACCAGTAATATCTAAAATTCTCATCCATGTTTTAAACATGGTCGCGGCCACACATCTAAAGGCTCGATGCTTGTGACATTACCTTTAAAATCAATGCAATTGAGCGAAGAGCTGAGTAAGTTGTTTGAATATCAGTTGGTTCTGGTTTAGAGTGTCTATTGTCTTGAGCCTACCAAGTTAAGATTGCCAGTCATGCTGTATAGATTACCATATTTGAAAGTTCAACTTTTGTTTGAATATTCTGTCTACCTTTTCTTTTCCTTTATCAATTTACTTGCAAATTAAAACTAACTCCCTTCTCCATTTTGCAGCACAATACTCGATTTCTTCAACAAATTCTTCAAAATAGGAAATTAGATTTTCTAGAGTGGCTTATTAATCATTATTGCACTGACTGGTGTCAAGATTCTTCTCTCTATATGGTTGACGTCATTTTAGGCTGAATGTGAGCTGCAAATAGGAGGGCTGGTAATGAGAGAACCCAAGCAACAATGATTCTGTCTTTACTAAAATTTAAATTTGAAGATTTTGTTCTTTTCCACCTTCAATGCATTAACACTTAGTATTTTATTGGAATTTGCACTCGATTCCTTCTATCTATGATACTTTTCTATTTGATCAACCTTTTGGATTAGTCACAGGAGCCCCTAGCATCATGGCATCCAAGAAGAAGCAATACTAGGGTATTGCTTTGCTGTCCATGTACAACGATGAGGAAGATGACGAGATGGACGATGTTGAAGGAGGAATGGAGGGAGAAGAACAACAAGAATAGGATGGTGGGGATGTGAGGATTGCAGAGGAAAATCTAGAGAGTGATGCTGAGATGATAAGGATCCTTGATTCTGCTAATGAGGCTACTGTACCGGTTGAAAATGATGGGATGACCCTGGAGAAGAGTAAATTTGGGACTTCAATGCCACCACAGCCTTTGGTTGATATGTTGGTTTCACAGCAGGATCAACAAGTAGTGTCTGTTGAATCTAGGAGGAGTAGGAGAGGGACAATTACCATTGTAGACCGTGGTCATGATGAAATAGCAATGTCACCTGAGCCAGAGTTACTCTCTCTCACTTGAACCCACCCCTCTGTTTTTTTAAGAAATGCATTTAAATAGGACTGATGACATGGCAATTTTGGTATACTATATTTGTCTTCTATACGTTCCTTTATCATTATTTTCTTCCATTGATGGAGTCATGTCTCTTAAACTTGAAAATTGCCCAAAATGTTTAAGACCCTGACGTTTCCTTAGGCACCCGGCCTTGCCATATTTTCCAGGCAGGTTATCTTCTATTAGGAAACCATTTTCTCCTTCTTTATTTTAGGTTATAAGTTAATAACTTATATTTGGTTTTGATATCAGGATGGAGGGCTTGATGGTAATGGTCGACCCTTGTTTGAGGAAGAACTTCAAACAACAAATGGTATTTTCCCTTTTGCTTAAAGTATGTTCTGCTAAATTTATTGTATCCTTTCTTTGGACACCTCATCCCACTATAGGTTATTCTCAGAGAATGAATATTACTTGATTAATCTGTTGGTGGTAAAGAAGAATATCTCAAGAGCTTCACAATGTCATTGATTTCTTTTTGGAACAGAAGAATTTAAAATTTTGACCAGTAATCTGTTCTCTCATTTGGCCAAAAAGTCTGTTCTTTCTGGAACTTGTACAGACAGTTCTGGTAAGATAATTATGAATATGAGCTAATGAATCTGAACTGTCATATTGATAAGGTAATAAACATATAAAACAGTTAAAATTAACTTCTGCATGAAATGTATTTAATCAAGGATGATTATTCAACTGACCTTTTATATGCAATTTTTTTTGCCAATATTTGATTGTTTAACTGTTTAGTTCTGGATAATTGAAGTGCATGAGAGTTTGTCTGGGACTATTAATTTGAGAATATGCCAATCTTTTGGACTTTGGTTGGGTATTTAAGAATAAGATTATTGAAAAAGAGGCTCGGACATTACGTTGGGGTGGTTTTAGTTCACTTTTCCATGAAGTATATTAGATGGGAATAATCCTATTGTTTTATTTTGTTTTTCTGTTTATCATTTTGCCTCCTGGTCCACTGTTTTTCCCCCTCTGAAGAACTTCCTTGAATGTGGTTTTGTAAGTGATTTGCTAGATGGAGCATCATCAGGATTTGTTCAGGTTTTGACACCTAGCAGTCAAGTTGACACTCCATAGTTTCCTGAGCCATCTCATACCATGCAAGTTGATGCTGTGGCTGGATCAGATGGTGCAGAACATGAAGAGACAGCTCAGGAAGAGCAGAAGTTTGTAGATCCATTGGATAGATTTCTCCCACCACCACCCAAAGTTAAATGCTCTGAATGCCTACAAGTAAATTCCTTTAGATTAATTTTGCAATAATCAATAAATTATTCTCGATAAATTTTAGATATCTGCCAATATATTGAATTGAATTGGTGTGGTTTGCTCCCTCCCCCTAAAAGAAAAACAGCTAGTGTGCTTGTGTAGTTTGATGTCTTTTTTCCTTTCTGCTTTGTGCCACACTAGAGCTCCGCTTTTAATTTGCTATGTCTCTTTAAATTCTTAAGCTTCTTATCCATTAATTTTATCACTTTCATATGTTAGTTAGTGAATATGATTAAACCAATTTGGCGATACTTTGGAAGAGTTGTAATGCAATATTACACTCTAATCTCTTACGACTTCTAGTCCTGTTTAGTGATTGTGCATATATGTAATGTAAACTACACGTACATACATAATTCTAAGGTCCTGTAGAAGCACTTGAATATAGTGATCTATGTTTAGAATTTTGGCATTGAAATTTTTGATTAAGTGTTTTAGTGTGAGAATCTACCCATCCAAACTGAATTTAAGGTGTAAAAATGCGGAAATCACTCATCTTGCGGGGTATTATTCGATGAATTCGGCAGCTGCTCTTGTTTAATTACTAAGTGGTGATTTATGGTTTGATTCATTAACATGTTCCTTTTAATATGAATTCAAGACATATCATTTCAGATATTACTAATTCTGTGATTAAATCATTGAATTATGAAAAAAGTGATAATTTGCCAATACTTCTCTGTATCAAGTTTTTTGACCACTAAACATCTCTGTTTTATTGAATACACCTTATATTATTATATTTTCTTACCCCCTTCTTGACGTTCTGTACACGGGAAGTTGAATGATCTTCACTTTACTCCTTAATTAGTACATTGGCAATTTAGCAATTTTAAGTAATAGTTTAAATTAAAAAATAATTTTCCTCAATTTTTGATAAAGTAGAAAATTGTATAAAACTATTTTTAGCTTTTGCACATTTGATGTTCTTTCATGACAACGTGCTATGATTTTTATTATTATAGCAGAGAAAGATAAATAAATTTCTTGAGTATAAGAAGGCTGGAAAAAGTTTTAATGCAACAGTTCGCAATAGGAAGGACTATCGGAACCCTGACTTCCTGTTGCATGCTGTGAGGTGTCAAGATATTGACCAAATAGGATCTTGCTTTGATAAGGATGTATTGGACCCTCATAGATTTGACCTAAGTGACTACTACGACCAAATAGGTGCTTAATTGTTTCTTCTCTGCATCTACTTTCTTGTGCTTCCTTGTACTTTTTTATTTTATGCTCATATTTTACCTGATTTTGTCAATTATATGATACTTCTTGTGTGTTCTTGCAAACATTAATGTCATATTCTAGATATGTTGGTCGCTGGTATTTGGGCTGTTTACGCTATTATTGTTCACTATACTAACAACGACTTGATATCTAGTATTAAAGAACTTGTTTGTCTTCTAACCTGATATTGAAATTATGTTTTGCCGTTGGATTGTGCTTTTTCTCTTCAAAAGTCCTTTTGATAATATTATTTACGTTGAAATGGACAACCAAAATCTATACATAGCTGTGTATGGCTAGTTATATCTGCTTTGGGGTTCTTTCTATATTTTTTATGAATATGTTGGTCATGATTTTGGAAGTTAAGTTTTCATTGTGAATTGAACCAACTTATTTGTCTTGCCATATTTTGTTATTTGTTCATATTTTCTCAGCACCATCAAGTCATAGGGACGGATTGGTCTTGCAGTCAAGCTCCCTTTAAGTACTTGATACTGATGTTGCTTTACCACCCCTAACTGTCACATAGGCAGATATGAGACGTGGAAGTGACAAGAAAGAGCTGGAGAAGAAAGCCCAGAAAGTTGAATTTGTCTCTAGGGGAGCACAACCAGGAATTGTAACTGGTGTTCCAAGGATCAATGTACCTGTTGCAGGTATAAAGCAACCTAGTCTATCTATGGTATGGCAAAGGTCATTCTTACTACGCATTTTCTATTTTATGCTGATTTTCTCTCTTCTCTCTTCAGGTGGTTTGCCTTTGATGCCTCCTACTGCTGAGGCCACCAATCGTGATGGTAGGCTGGACAAAAAATCAAAATGGGACGAGGTATTCATTTAAACAAATGCACCAACACGTGCAATTTGCTTCAAATTTTTACACTATTTCAATGAATAATAATCCTGTTTAGGTGGATGGGGATCAGAAAAATCCTCTGCCCTTTGTGGGGCAGGATTCTGTGCCCGCTCACGCTGCAATTTTACTGCTAATGCTGGTGATGGGTACATGCATTTTGCGTGAGATTGTGAATAACTTTGAGCTTCTTTATGTATTCTAGAATGAGATGTGTTTGATACTATGACCATTGTTGTAATGTTGGACAGGTAGCAAAAACGACGAGAGGCAGAGGAGAGAAGGTCAACTGAAAGGAAGGAAAGAAGGTGATGAGCCACACTCATTTTGGTCTGTCAAACTAATACCTCCAACCATTTTGAAGTCCTTTAGATTGCCGTCGACAAAAATGTTTGTCTATTCAGTAAGTTTTGCTAAGTCACCATTCTATATATCATGAAAGGTGGAAAGGAATAGTGTTGTGGTTATCACTGCACGATTTCAGTCAGCTAAATGGTTGGTTTTATTTTGTTTAACTTTCTTTACGAGCACGCTGAATCAGGATTTCGAGTAGGATTGTCATTTCAGTTGCTTGCGACGGTACAAAATGCACCACTGATTCGCTTTATAGTGGTCTACGTATAAGCTTTCTTTTTTATTTTTTTGGATAATTCTTAATACATGTGAGAGAGTATATAAGTGACTTTTTTTCATTAAAAATGATGTTTTGGGTTTTTTGTTGTCAGTGTGATAAATGACTTTTTTTCATTAGAGCGAAAGATAAAATAAAGGGCATCAGGGAGTAATTTTGTTAACTGATATCAAGAAAGTAAAATATGGTGAATTTAAATGCTAGATATTTCATTCATTCTAGCTAACAGTTTAATATTGACCTAGTAGAGTTATTTTCATTATTGCTTACCCGTAATAGATAGATTGGCATGATTTAAATCTTTAAATTGGTGTGAAAAAATAACTTATCTCTTATCTAGCTTGCTTGCAGTTAAGTCCTAGTCAATTACACAATCTTATATCTAATTTCATTTATTGTTCTTCTGTGCCTTCACAGATCATAAAATGAATATTGTTTCATAGAATTATCAAGAACTCCATGGTCAATTGTGACCAATCTCATTGAACTAATTAATAATCTTTATAACACAATTAAGCAAACCACATAGATGTTGAATGAAAGCTTCACAATCATAACACCAATTTCTGAGTCTTTCATACATTAATGAAACAAACCATACTATGGGTAGAGTTTTGTCATGCATCACCCAATTGTTTATGATAAAAATAGAGTCTCATTTATCAAATAATTGAGAATTCAACAAAAGCATCACTGCACAAGTGTCTGTCCATATTCATCAACTTGTAGTCAATGATTTTGTAGTCCACACTTCGGATCAGCCGCCTGCATTAATCCAGCAAGGAAACGAACAAGGCTATTGAGTGTCTTCTACATATATTCATGTTATCAAATATAATTCATTTTGTAGTCAATGCGTCAAAAAACCTTCTTTGTTTTCTTATTTTGAAAGCCGTTTTTCGTTTTTAAAAAAATTAAAAAGGCTTGTTTTGTAATTTGTTGTTAACTAAGTGTTTTTAAAAACCAAAAAACAGAAATATTTTTAAAAACTCAAAAACAAAAACAACTTTTAGTTATTTTCTTGTTTTTGTTTGCAAAAATTGGAAAAAAAAAATTTTCCCCCGCTTGATGGCTTTTTTCTCATTTAAAAACTTGAGTTCTCATTGAAACTTCACTTTCCAGTCTCAGTATGTTTATGTCAAATGCAGTTTTTTGAAGCAATTAACCAAACAGATTTTTGTTTTGTATTTTTTTTTCAAAACTTGTTTTAAAAAACAATTTTATCAAACTATTGAGAAAAAAAATTAAAAAAAAAAGAAACAAACAGCCCCTCTATTTTTATCATTCTATTTTGTAAATATATATCATATTTAGTTGAAAACATGGGTTAAATAATTGGGGTAAACAAAATATCAAAATCATCCTTTTTGAAATACGCCAGCTATTTCTTTTCTTCTTAATCACAGTTGATCTCTTTAAAATAAGCAAAAGCAATTCACTAACTCAACTGATACTATACACAGAGAATGTACAGAAACAAAGAAAAATTTTATAAAAAAGTTAAAAAAAAAAAAAAGGACACGCACACTCACAAAAAGATGGCTCCCCTTTTCACCCTTTAATATGGAGCACTTGTTGATATTACAGTAACTACTATTGGAAAAGAAATTGAAATAAACATCAACAAGCAACTCATATCTTTTAGTGATAGTAAAGCACAGACAAATGTAGCAAAAACATACAAATAATTTAAGAAAAAGAAAAAATTTGGCGTATAGGGAGGAAAAAAGAGACGCAAGTTTTTTTATTTTCAAGCTTGTCCCCTTATATATGAGGCTTTTATTGATATCATAATAACCACTAGGAAAAAAAAACAGCCGATAAGCAGAAAAATCATAAAAGTAACGAACCTGGAAAGAATGATAACATGGATGATGGACCTATCCTTCTATATATTAACACTATCCTGCAATAACAAATCACAATATTAGCTGCCTAAAATAGAAGGCAATTTTGAAAAGAGACGTCGTTGGCATGAGCACGATACAATCAATTTTCTATTTCCGTGGCCATTAACAACACATTTTCCGAAAAAATATTTGTTAGTATGGGTATGTCATACCTTTGCTGAGGATAGCATTTCTACTGTTTTGTTAAGGTCCCCTTTATCCTTCCACTCCATCTCATGCTCTTCTATTTTTACTCTAGACAACTCTGGTGTTTCCAACAATCCTGAACAAAACATCTTCATTTCAGGACATCCAGTTATTTCTACCTCTTCTAATTCAGGGAATTCAAATGTCTGACTTTGTGAAGAGAACATCTTCAAGCTTGGCATATCAGTAAGTTCAATCCGCTGTAATCGGTTGAGAGTGATTCCACCTTCTACACCTTCATTGTTCTCATTCAATACAATTTCCTCCATCTTTTTGCAATCATTTATCTCCAACCTTCAAGACTCACCAAGCTTTTGGCAGTTGAACTTGTCACCAAATAGACGAGTTGATGACATCCAGATATAGACAGCTTCCACAAATTTTGAAATGAAGCAGAGGATGGTGCCAACTTGACCAAGCTATGACAACTTTCGACTTCCAGGCATTTTATTAGGTCTTGGTGAATTGGTGGTAGCTGAGAATCATCCTTCCATATGCTCTTGAGTTGATCCAAATAGGCAATGTGTAATTCTTCAAATGGTGGGATTTTTCCCATAAAATCAAGAATCTCATCCTGTGAGGGGAATATCTCCCCAAAAGAACTATGCTCCACATAAAGCTATCCAACTTGGGAAATCTCTCAAGGAAGCTATAGGGAAATGTTACCCCTTATCTGTGAAGCTTTCTACATAAAGAGCTCTCACTCTAGAAAGACATCCCTTATCATTGTGATATTCTTCGCATTTAAAGCCATGCTTTCGGTTGTGGAAATTACCTATAAAATCATAATTAGTAAAACAATTACCATAATGAGTAGGCGATTTAGTAAATTACATCAAGATATTGTTTTCAAGAATTAAAACTTTTCAATGGATCACTCGTCTTTTGCTAATATCTAAAATTTTCATAATTTCACCATGAAATAACATCCACACCTTAAAATTTAAAAAATCCTTTAAATTAACTTCATAGCCCCTTTCTTTCGTCTAAGTTAAATTGAAAAAAAAAAATCCATAATTTCCTTGGAATTCACATTTAGGGCTGGCCTTTTTTTACTATGAAAATAACCTGTTCAAAGATTATTGGTAAAATTATATTATAAGAAGGTAGTTTAATAAATCAGGTCAGAATATTTTTTAAAATAATAATTTCTTATATTTATTGTAGATAAAATCTTTCTTAATTGACCGGTCATCTTTTTCTAATACTTATATTTTTCATCATTAACCCCCCCCAAAAAAAATCACGTTAAAAAAAAATTCTTTGAATCACTTTATAGGCCCATTTCTTTCCAGTCAGAGATCTACAAACATTATCACACTATTTGCAGTAGTTTGCCACATCCATTAATCATCATTTGCTTATCAGATTTCGTGTGAAATCAGAGTCTTGTAATTTGATGAAAAGTTTATAATTTTTGGGTAGACGACAGAATGTCCAAACTTTAATATTTATATTAGATATTTATCTGAACCTAAATTTTGTAGATGATGAGGAATATTTAAAAAGTAAAAAACAAGAATATCAGTATGTTGGACTAACCTCTTGAATAGTAAACCGGTGTTGGATGGTGGCATTAAGATCAGTCATCCAAATATCTATGTTAGATTCTCCATACTCGTCACTCGAACATTTTGAAGCTGCGGGGCATGAATGGCTCCGGAACAGAATGTCGTGAGTTGAGGGCACTCTGTTATGGTTACAGATTGTAATAATGGAAACTTGAAAGTATAATTTTGGCTGCAAAATCTCTTCAATCTTGGTAATTCATGAAGTTCCAAAAGCTCCAATTTGCTGAAAATGATTTCCGTGTCCTCATTGTCCTCTTCCTGTCTCGGTATAATTTCTTCAATTTGATTTTGATGGCATATGGATGGTGCCAACACATTCTTCAATTTTGGCAAATACTCTAACCTTAACTCTTTCAGTGGCACAGCCATCGATGATGACACAATCTCTTTATAATCATTTAAATCTTCAAAATAAAACACCGTCTCCAACATGTCACAAGACTCGACTTTCAGTTCTTCCAAGTTGTTTAAATATTTCAGCACATGAAGGGGCACCAATTTCACAATGTCACATCTACTCACACTCAATGTTTTCAAGTTGCTAAATGAGTTGTGTGAAGGTTTGTCATCCCATATCGGTGGAACCAGACTGTTTAAAGAGTATAATTCTAATATCTCTAACTTTGGGAATGACACCTGTTGAAAGAAAATATAATTAAACGAAAATCTTTTAGCAAAAAATGAAAACGAAGTTACTGTTGATTTGCGAGGCTTAGTGTTCATGAAAGATTGTTTAAATGTGTAAGTATAGATCTCGTGTACCGCAATATTCTTCAAGAGATTGATAAAAGTTCAACTTCAAATTTCAAGTTCACCAAACGGAAATAACTAACTAAAAAACGAGAGAATTATAAAATGCTACAATAGCTAGCTTAATGCCAAAGTAAGTAATTTAAGTGAAATAATTTTTGTAGAAATATTGAGACAAGGAAAAATAGAACATATTTGTACTGAACAGAGTAAATAATTCCAGTAAAATTAATTTTCACAACGTAAGTTTGAAATTAAGAAGTTAATAAGATAAGAAAATCTTGGTAAGGAAAAAATATACAAGATAAGAAAAAAAATAAATTAATTTTTTGTCCCGAAAAAACAATAATAAATTGATTAGTAAAATATTCTGGCCTCCTTTGCATTGAAAATAAGTAATTTAGTGAGTGGAAATTTGGTTATTTCTTTAAATAAATATATAATTCACTAAATAAGTTATAAATATTTCTCATTTGCTTAAAAACTTTAAAATTTAAATTTAAATAATTTCTATAATCTATCAGACTTAGATAATCTATATTATATGATGAAAAGAATATGTACTCAACATATTTTTTAGCCATTTATAGAAACCTAAATAAATTAATTTCAATGTGCGTGACAAACAATTAAAATTATAAAATTTTATAATAGAATTAAAATTAAAACATTTTATTACATTTTAAAAAGTCTGAAAATACATGTATTAAAATTATGTTTTGTGGTATTAAAAATTATTTTTAAAAAAATGAATGTTTAAATAACTTTTACGTGAAGAAGCAGTATTTTGGTCAAAATAAAAGTTTAAAGGTTAAACTTAATGGTCACCTTACAGTTGGATAGATGGAAATAGAATCTCAAATCAAATATACAAGAGAGGTTTGAACAACATGTATTTTAATTTTACTGTAGTTATACTATGTGTGTGTATATATATATATATATATAACTAATTTGACAGCCTTATCCTTTTATCAAATTTGGAATCAGGTTCCTGTAGTCTTTTTTAAAAATTTTATTAGATCCTTATTGTTTGCTCAGTTAGTAACTAAGGTCCTTCCGTTTATAATTGCCGTTACTTTAAGTTAATAGCGGTGATGTGGCATGACTAGGCACCATCTTCCTCCTTCGGTCGGTTTCCTTTTTAGAGTAAAAAGCTTCATTCAGTTTCCTTCCAAACCAACACCATCATCTCTCTCTCTCAACTCATGCACTCTCTCTCTCCCCCACCATCATTTTTACTTGCTCTTGTAGAAGCTTCATCCTGTTTCGAATTCCTTCTCAGACGGCGATGCGAATCTAGGTGATGATAGTTGACTAAAAAGAGGACCACAATGTTGTGAGATTCATCGGATTCATCGTCTTCATCCTTGAATTTTTTTTTTTTGGAAAAATTAGCCCATTTGAATAGACGATTAAGTCCAATAGTGAAATGTGGAAGAGGTTCTACTACTCTTTGGCCCACAAAAATAAATTAATAAACAGAGAGAGAATCTGATGATTTTGAAACATGGAGTGAAACTTTTACAAGAAGAGATAAGGATAACGTAACGGTAGTGGCAGGGAGAGAGAGAATATGAAGTGTGTGAGAGAGAGGATGATGTTAGTTTGGAAGAGAACTGAGTGGAGGCGGGGGAGAGAGAAGATGAAGGCATAGGGGTTACAGGTGAAATGAAGAACATGATGCTAGTCAGATCTTGAACAGTGCCACATCAGTGTTGTCATCTTAAAGTAACGGCAATCATAACGGGAGCAAAAAATAAAGATGTAATAAATAGAAAAAAAAATTATAAAGACCTGATAATTTTCCCTTTTTAAAATAAAGAAAAGATTTCTATAACTTAGATAAAACACATGGCTAGTTAGTATATTTTACTGTAAATTGATTTGAACATACCTTATGATTATTTGTTGCTGGGTCTTCAATGTTGAAATCCGTTTTATGCTCTTCTGCTTTCAATCGTGGTAGACTATAGAGTTTTAATCTTCTCAACGCACTGAACGTGACTCCACCTTCCACATCGTCATTATTCTCATTCTTTACAATTTTCTCCATCTTTTCACAATCATCTATTTCCAATGTTTCAAGATTCACCAAACCTTTGGCAGCTGAATTTGTCATTAAATAGATGAGTCGATGACATTCAGACACCTTCAGCACTGTCAAATTATGAAGAAGTTGATTTTGATGAACAATGGGTGATGGGAATATCTCCTTGAAAGAACTATCCTCCACACGAAGCTCAGTCAGCCGCGGAAATCTTTCAAGCAATGTATGAGGAAATGTTGCCCCTTCATCATCAAATCCGTCTATGCACAGAGTTTCCACTTGAGCAAGACAATCCGCTGGAAATTGGTCATTCCTTATCATGCTGACATCATACTCATCTAACACCATCTCTCTTGATGCCACAAATCTCTGTAAAACAGATATTGAGTCAGAAGCATGGTAATATTAATTTAGTAATTATGTCGCAACTTCTTATTGAATCAGTAATATTATTTTGTTTTTTATTGTCTCCCAAGATCAAATGCGCTCACTAGAAGTGCGAAACATTTTGATTTCATTTATTTTTCATAATTAATCTTGGAAAAGAAATAATTATATCAGCCACGACAAGAAACATTAATGCCGACACATTTCGCTGTGTATCGCATTAATTATTAAATTATGACGTAATTGTTTGGGATATTTTATAATTAAACTTATGTAATTAAAAAAAATGATAACTACTCCCTCTAGTTCTTTTTATAAAAGTTTGAAATTTGAATTGTCTTAGTTTTTTTTATAAGAGCCAACTTGAATTTGTCTAAACATTTAATATGTTTTTACCCTTTTTATCTCTGATTAATTTTATACATTGCATTAATTAAAAGGCTGACAACTTGGTATATTATCTTATCTTTCATATTTTTTCTCGTTATTACTCTATTTCTCTCTCTTACTTTTTCCCTCATAAATAACGGTATATATGGGGAAAAAATTTTCATTTCTTACTGAAACATTTCGCTGTGTATCCCATTAATTAATTATGATGTAATTGTTTTGGGATGTTTTGTAATTAAAGTTACGTAATTAAAAAATGATAACTAAAATTTTAGTAGAAACTTCAAAACCGAAACATGTATAGGTATTTTTATATTAAATATCATGACAATGGAACATTTATAGATTTAGATTTTTGTAAAAGCTGGAAATAGGAAGAAGGGAGCATTCTAGACGTACCTGTTGGTAGAATGTTTTGTTAAGATTGGTGTCCCAAATTTCATGAGGTTTTCCATACCTATCTTGTGACAGTAGAACGCTTTTAAGAGATGGTGTATCAATGAGTCCTGGAGAGAATACTTTGAATTTTGGACATTTTGTTATGATCACCTGATCCAATAATGGAAACCTGAAAGTATAATTGTAGCCGCAAAATCTCTTCAATCTTGGTAGGTCATCAAGTTTCAAATACTGCAACTTGCTGAAAATGACTTCCTCATCGTCATCATCCTCTCCTTCCTGCTTCCATATAATTTCCTTTATTTTAAAGCAGTTGCTAATTGAGAGACTTGTGAGATGGACCAAGCTTCGAGCAACTGATGACGTTATCAAAGTGGTCAACCCAAAACAAAATACCAAGTGGAGATGTGTGAGATTTGGTGAAGAAACTAAGAGTGGTACCAAGCTTGTGATTTTGAAAATAGAGTTGAGAGTCAATTTTATTGGAAGAGGAACATCATCCCCTCCATAAGCCTTCTTAATGTGACCCCCCAATCTCAGCTCCTCTAAGTTTGGAAAGCTCTTCAACAATTTGTATGAAATAGTCGTTGCTTTATCATAACCAATATGTAGATGAAGCAATTTTACTTTGGGGAAGCGGTACGTTGAAAGCTGGCCACTCCCTATCATCTCAGCTCCTTTACCCCGTAATGTCAACTCCTCCAAATTATGAGTGACCTGCACAATAAATAAATCATAACTAAATGTAACAACTAATCAATGCGTCAAAATCCAGCCGTGTGCCTTTTTTTAGGAGGATATCTTCAAATTTAAATTTGATGCACCACAATTTTGACATACATGTATTTTGTAACTACAAATATTAATTATGATACATTAAAATGAATATAAATTTCTAGACTGGAGTTTGTATCTTTGATTATAACATACAAACGTTATTTCGATCTTCGTTTGTTTTAAAAAAGATTATCCAATTAAAGCTAATAATCGCTTGAAAAAAAGGAAAAAAAAAATCCCCTCCCTTGATTTAATGACACACCTCTTTTCCATGAAGATGGAAAGCCGAGAATTGGAGACCCACTTTTTTTAAAAGAGAAAAAATGGAAAATTATTTAATTAATTTCTAATATCTATTATTAATTAAAATAATTATTATGAATTATTCTTTTTTAGCTTTTTAAGTGGATAACCAAATTAATCCTAAACTACCTTATATTCTAATAAATGGTTTAGTGACAGGAATAATTCACACACTTGAGTACTCAAAAATATCAAATTCAAACGTGCTCTTGGACTGTGACACAAAATATGTTTCATTATTTATTTTAATGCTTAAAGTTAATTTTTTGCTCTTTTATTAGATTGTTTTTAAAATAAATAACACATGAATAGCTAATTTAGAGATGTACCTTGCATTGAGACAGTAGAGGATATTTTGAGTCTAATGAGCTCCCTTCCTCGTGTATTTCTAATGAACTTGAGACTTCCTTTTCAAATATCTCCAATTCATCACAAAATTCAATAGATAATCGATAAAGATGTGGCCATTCTAATGTGTGTCTCTGTGGATAGAAATTCCTCAAATTTCTAAGCGAAGAAAGCTCAAGGAGAGTCAATCTGGGAAACTCTAACAGAGGAGCAACAGATTCTGAAACTTGATCTTTTGCAACAATCACCTCTATACCACAAGCACTTATTCGAAGCTCCTCAAGATCACGAAGCATGCCTTTGGCTATAGATGCAGGAAACAGACTAGTGAGGCTTTCACAAGAGGAAACATGCACGCTCCTTAGACTTGGGAAGGAGACGTCTCCTTTATAGTGATTGCTCCACACATTCTTCAATTTTCGCAGGTTATAAAGCGTTAACTTTTTCAGTGGCACAATCACTGATGATGACTCCGCCTCTTTATAATCATTCAAGTCTTCAAAATCAAACACCAACTCCAACGTGTTACACTCCCTAACTTCTAGTTCTTCCAAGTTGTTTAAAGATCTCAGCACACAAAGGGGCACCAATTTCACAAAGCCACAACTTTTCACAAACAATGTTTTCAAGTTCCTAAATGAGTTGTGTGAAAGTTGGTCCTCCCATATCAATGGAACCAAACCGATTGAATTAGATAATCGCACTATCTCTAATTTTGGAAGCAACACCTGTAGTTTACAGAAAATATGATCAAATGAAAATCACTTTTAGTTCGTAGGCTTACTTTTCATGAAAGATTGTTCAAATGTCTAGATAAAACTCTCAACTACCAAAATATTATTCAAGAGATTGCTGAAAGTTCAATCTGAAAATTCAAGATTAAAAAAATAAGTAATTCAAAAAAAAATGTAAAATGCTATTATAGCAAGCCTGATAGCAATGTAAGTAATTCTGGCGAATGTAATTTTTGTAGATACATTACAAAAAAAAAAAGAGAAGAACAAACTTGAAAAATGCCATGATAGCCTGATAGCAAAGTAAATAATTCCGGCAAAAATCACTTTCTGCAGGTAACTAAGTTTGAAGTTTTGTCACAAAGTTAAAAAAAAAAAAAAGAATAATTAAAACAACATGAAAATACCATATTGTTGAAAAGGGATTCCAAAGGTTTATTACGATGGTCAATCATCAAAACCATGAGCTACATTCCCATTGATATTTTAGTGACAGGAACAATTCATATATTAAAATACTCAAACATCAAATTAACGTGTTTTTAGACTGACAAATAATTTGAGGCTTCATTATTTATTTTAATGCTTAAAGTTATTTTTGGCTCTTTTATTATATTGTTTTTAAAATAAATAACACATGAATAGCAAATTTAGAGATGTACCTTGCATTGTGACAGTACATGATATTTTGAGTCTAATGAGCTCCCTTCCTCATGTATTTCTAATGAACTTGAGACTTCCTTTTCAAATATCTCCAATTCATCACAACCATCAATAGATAATTGATAAAGATGTGGCCATTCTAATGTGTGTCTCTGTGGATAGAAATTCCTCAAATTTTTAAGCGAAGAAAGCTCAAGGAGAGTCAACCTGGGAAACTCTAACAGAGGAGCAACAGATTCTGAAACTTGATCTTTTGCAACAATCACCTCTATACCACAATCGCTTATTCGAAGCTCTTCAAGATCACGACGCATGCCTTTGGCTATAGATGCAGGAAACAGACTAGCGAGGCTTTCACAAGAGGAAACATGCACGCTCCTTAGACTTGGGAAGGAGACGTCTCCTTTATAGTGATTGCTCCACACATTCTTCAATTTTCGCAATCCACATAGCGTTAACTTTTTCAGTGGCACGATCACTGATGATGACTCCGCCTCTTTATAATCATTCAAGTCTTCAAAATCAAACACCAACTCCAACGTGTCACAGTCCCTAACTTCTAGTTCTTCCAAGTTGTTTAAAGATTTCAGCACACGAAGGGGCACCAATTTCACAAAGCCACAACTTTTCACAAACAATGTTTTCAAGTTCCTAAATGAGTTGTGTGAAAGTTGGTCCTCCCATATCAATGGAATCAAACCGATTGAATTAGATAATCGCAATATCTCTAATTTTGGAAGCAACACCTACAGTTCACAGAAAATATGATCAAATGAAAATCACTTTTAATTCACAGACTTGCTTTTCATGAAAGATTTTTTAAATGTCTAGATAAAACTCTCATCCACAATATTTATCAAGAGATTGCTGAAAGTTCAATATGAAATTCCAAGTTCCAAAAAAAAAAGTAATCAAAAAATAAAAAAACTGTAAAATGCTATTTTAGCAAGCTTAATACCAAAGCAAGTACTTCTAGTGAATGTAATTTTTGTAGATACGTTAATTTAAAAAAAAAGAACAAAATAAGAACAAAATTGAAAAAGGCCATAACAGCCTGACAGCAAAGTAAACAATTCTAGTAAAAATTAATTTTTGCAGGTAACTAAGTTTGAAGTTTTGTCAGAAAAGTAAAACAAAAAAAATAAGAATAATTAAAACAACATGAAAATAACATATTGTTGAAAAG